CACTCCAGTCTGGGCGACAGAGTGAGACTCCAACTCAAAAAATAAAAATAAAAAAAATAATAAAAATGAGAAAAATGAATTTTATGCACATGGTAATATTGACTCACAATGCCCAACAAGTAACTTGGTAACACTATAAATTTAATTTCATCCAGGATGGCAATGGGACACTTTAATATATCTTCTCAGTATATGAGTATAAAACTTGTTGCCAGGTGCAGTGGCTCATTCCTGCAATCCCAGCACTTTAGAAGGCCGAGGTGAGAGGATTGTCTGAGCCCAGGAATTGGAGACCTGCCTGGGCAACATGGTGAAACCTCATCTTTACAATAAATTTAAAAATTAGCCAGGTGTGGTGGTGTGTATCTCTTGCCCCAGCTATTCGGGAGACTGAGGTGGAAGGATTGCTTGAACTCAGCAGGTCAAGGTTGCAGTGACTGTGATGGTGCCAGGGCACTCCAGCCTGGGCAAGAGTGAGGCTCCGACACAAAAAAAAAAAAAAAAAAGAAAGAAAGAAAGAAAGAAATATGTACAGATCTCTTAATTGGCCAAAATATATATATATATAGTTCTGTTTTTCTCAGTCAGGGTGTCATTCTGTCACCCAGGCTGGAGTAAAATACCTTTATCATGGTTCACCACAACCTCAACTCCTGGGCTCAAGTGATCTTTCTGCCTTAGCCTCCCAAGCAGCTGGGACAAGTGTGCACCACCACAACCAGATATATATATATATATATATATTTTTTTTTTTTTTTTTTTTTAGTTAGAGATGAATGTTGCTTGGGCTGGTCTCAAACTCCTGGGCTCAAGAAATCCTCCTGCCTCCAGCTCACAAAGTGCTTGAGATTATAGGCATGAGCCACCACATCCAGTCACCTATTTTGTTTTTGTTTTTGTTTGAGTTGGAGTCTCACTCTGTCGCCTAGGCTGGAGGGCAGTGGCATGCTCCTGGCACCCCAGCCTCGACTTGCTGGGTTCAGGCAATTTTTCCGCCTGAGCCATCCAAGTAGCTGAAACTACAGGCACCCGTCACATGCCCGGCTAATTTTTGGATTTATTGTAGACATGAGATCTCGCCAAGTTGCCCAGGCTGGTCTCAAACCCATGGGTTCAGGCAATCCTCTCACTTCAGCCTCCCAAAGTGCTGGGATTATAGGCATGAGCCACCGCGCCCAGCCTCACCTATTGTTTTTAATCACATGTAATCAAACATAATCAAAAGTGATCTGAGAAGTGATCTAGGGAATTACATTGGGCTGTGAATAACAGAAAATACTCAAAATGTCCTCAGAAGATAAAGGTGCTTATTCTCACATGAAAGTACTGAGACCAGCCTCTTCACAATGCAGCAGAGGAATAACTTCAATCTAGCTGGTTTTAACAACAGCACTGTAGTTTTGTTTTTTTTTTTTGAGTTGGAGTCTCATTTCTGCTACCCAGGCTGGAGTACAGTGGCATGCTCACGGTCACCACAGCCTCGACCTGCTGGGCTTGGGCGATCCTTCCACTTCAGCCTTCCAAGTAGCTGGAACTACTGGTGCGTACTACCATGCCTGGCTAACTTTTTGATTTATTGTAGAGATGAGGTCTATCCAAGTTGCCCAGGCTGGTCTCAAACCCCTGAGCTCAGTATATGCCCATGCCTTAGCCTCCCAAAGTGCTGGGATTACACGCTTGAGGCATTGCGCCCAGACTCAGAGCTGTCTTGCTAACTCAAGAATGAAGTCACTACCAGCAGGAAGAAGGGGCTTGCAACACAAATTACACCTTATATCAATCAATCTATAGACCCGGGGAGTTGAACATATGAGAATATATTCACCCACAACACTGGGAATGAACTCTGTGGTAAAGACATTATGATGTCTAAAGCAAACTCAAGTTGCAGATTAAATCTTTTTTTAAGCTAAAAAATTTTTTTTGTCCTTATTCTCTTCAATTTCCTTCTTACCAGAGATGTACAGATGTTTCTTTTTTTTTTTTTTGAGTTGGAGTCTCTGTCACCCAGGCTGGAGTACAGTGGCACGCTCACAGCCATCACAGACTCGACCTGCTGGGCTTAGGCAATCCTTCTTGCCTCGGCCTTCCAACTGGAACTACAGGTGTATGCCAACACACCTGACTAATTTTTTGATATATTGTAGAGATGATGTCTTGCCAAGTTGCCCAGGGTGGTCTCGAACCCAAAGGTTCAGGCAATCCTCTCGCCTCCATTGCCCAAAGTGCTGGAATTATAGGCATGAGCCACCGCACCCAGCCAAGATGTTTCTTTAATGTGGCACTCCTGGAGACAGCCATAAAACCCTATACCTCAGAGAAAATAAAAGTCAAGTGATTTTGAGAGTATTCTTTTTTCTTTTTTTTTTTATGAGTTGGAGTCTCACTCTGTCGCCCAGACTGGAGTGCAGTGGCCGCTCCCAGCCACCGCAGCCTCGACCTGCTGGGCTCCAGCGATCCTTCTGCCTCAGCCTTCCAAGTAGCCTGAATTACAGGCATGCGCTACCACGCCTGGCTAATTTTTTGATTTATTGTAGAGATGAGGTCTTGTTGCCCAGGCGGGTCTCGAACCCGTGGGCTCAGGCAATCCACTCACCTCAGTCTCCCAAAGGCACGGGATTACAGGCTGAGCCACCGAGCCCAGCTTCTCTTTTTTTTTTCTTTTTGAGCTGGAGTGTCACTCTTGTCACCGAGGCTGGAGTGCAGTGGCATGCTCATGGCCACCACAGCCTCCACCTGCTGGGCTTAGGCAATCCTTCCACCTCAGCCTTCCAAGTTGCTGGAACTATAGACACACACCACCACGCCCAACTAGTTTTTGTGATTTATCGTAAAGATGAGGTCTCACCAAATTGCCCAGGCTGGCCTCGAACCCCCGGACTCAGGCAATCCTCTCACCTTGGTCTCCCAAAGTGCTGGGATTACAGGCTGAGCCACCACAACCAGCCAAGGATACTCTTTTTTTTTGAGTTGGAGTCTCACTCTGTTGCCCAGACTGGAGTGCAGTGGCCGCTCCCGGCCACCGCAGCCTCGACCTGCTGGGCTCCAGCGATCCTTCCGCCTCAGCCTTCCGAGTAGCCAGAATTACAGGCGCGTGCTACCACGCCGGGATGATTTTTGATTTATTGTAGAGATGAGGTCTCGCCAAGTTGCCCAGGCGGGTCTCGAACCCGTGGGCTCAGGTAGTCCACTCACCTCAGCCACCCAAAGGCGTGGGATTACAGGCTGAGACACCGAGCCCGGCTTGAGGATACTCTTGATTGGCAAGCAAAAGAACCAAGAACATGGGCCGGAAGCAAAAGAACCAACATGCATGGTCCACGTGAATCTGGCTATCTCCTGAATGGTACCTCTACAAGGTGATAATGCCTTTCTCTTGTCAGTCACTAAATTCTCATGTTAGATAGGAAAAAATTGTGGATTGTATCATTGAAACACCCAACTCCATCACTAGACTTTATTGTCCAATCACAGGTTTCTCTTTTAAAAAAAATTTTTTTTTTATTTGGAGTGATCAAATTTGGTGAAGGTTTCAATGTAGGAGTGAGGACAGAGGTAAGATACTGGTCAGTGCAGCTGGAAGACACAGACGCTGGGCACTATGGGAAGAGATAACCTGGAGAAATTGGGAGGGGAAGGTGAAGGGCTGTTTTCATTCGGCTGTGGTTTGGTTTGAGTAGATGCCTTTCAGACATTCCCACGTCAACTCCCAGGGGAGCAACTAGTAGTAGAATTGAAGTGGGTAGAAGTGGCTGAGCTGATGCAGACATGAGCCACAGGAATATATAGACTTCTTGGCTCTATTAACAAGGAAATTTTTTTTTTTTTAAGTTGGAGTCTCACTCCATCACCCAGCACTAGAGTGCAGTGGCACGCTCATGGCCAACCCAGCCTCGACCTGCTGGGCTCTGGCGATCCTTCCGCCTCAGCCTTCTAAGCAGCCAGAACTACAGGTGTGCACTACCATGCCTGGCTAATTTTATTATTTTTATTATTTATTGTAGAAATGAAGTCTCACCAAGTAGCCCAGGCTGGTCTCAAACCCGTGGGCTCAGGCAATCCACTTACTTCGGCCTCCCAAAGTCCTGGGATTACAGGCTGAGCCACCGAGCCCACCTAAAAAGGGAATATTAACAAAGGTGTGGGTGAGGACTTCTCTCTTAACCCAAAAGTTAATTATCTTACAGAGTCTTTCTTCACTCTCTTTTCCCGTGTCTGAAATGAACTGGGACAATTGATTGCTCTCTCAATTCATTACAGTAATAGGATATCAGTCATATATTAACAGCATGAGATCTTTCATGTCTTCGATAGGAATTGAAACGAGTGAAAGCTTTTCCGCATTCCTTACACTCATAGGGCTTCTCTCCAGTGTGAATTCTTTCATGTATTCGAAAGTTCATGGAACAACTGAAGGCTTTACCACAATGTTCACATTCATACGGTTTCTCTCCAATGTGAGTCCTTTCATGGCTACGAAAAGAACTGACATAATAAAATGCTTTCCCACATTGATTACATTTATAGGGCTTCTCTCCAGTGTGAGTCCTTTCATGTATTCGAAAGGACTTGGAATAACTGAAGGCTTTCCCACACTGTATACACACATAGGGCTTTTCTCCAGTGTGAATCCTTTCATGTATTTGATTGGACTTGGAAGAAGTGAAGGCTTTACCACAATGCTTACATTCATAGGGTTTCTCTCCAGTATGAGTCCGTTCATGTCTCTGAAATGAGCTGGAAGAATAAAAGGCTTTCCCACACACCTTACATTTATGGGGTCCATCTCCAGTGTGCAAAACCATGTGCCTTTGAACACTTCTGAGATCAGCAAATGTTTTCCCACAAACCTCACATCCATATGGTTTTTCTCCAGTGTGAGACCTTTTATGTCTATCAACAGAACTGGGACAACTGAATGCTTTCCCACATTTCTCACATTCATACGGCTTCTCTCCTGTGTGCGTCCATCTATGTCTACGAAATGAACTGAAACAACTGAATGCTTTCCCACATTCCTTACATGCATATGGCTTTTCTCCGGTGTGAGTCCTTTCATGTGTTTGAAGGGAACAGAACCAACCAAAGCCTTTACCACAGTGTTTACATTCATACGGTTTCTCTCCAGTGTGACTTCTTTCATGTGCAAGATATAAACTGAGATAAGCCAAGGCTTTCCCACAAAACTTGCATTTATAAGGCCCATCTCCACTGTGCAATATCATGTGTCTCTGAACACCTACCAGAGAAATAAAGGTTTTCCCACATTCTTTACATTCATATGGCTTCTCTCCAGTCTGAGGACTTTCATGCATTTGAAAAGAATCATGGTAACTAAAGGCTTTCCCACTTTGGCTCCCTGCGGATGGCTCCTCTCCATACTTCTGATACTCATGGGCTTTTTGTCCAGTGTCAGCACTGATGTGATTATTAACAAATGAATAAGTGATGAAGACATCACCACACACACTGCAGTCATATGGTTTTACTCCGGGAGTTTTCTTGATCGGCATGTGATCTGGAGCCTGAGCGAAAGTTTCTCCACACTGACTACCTTCTTTACTTTCAAGGAGTCTCTCTCCCATAAGATTTCTGTGGAAAATTAAAAGCACATGTTTAAGGGATTGTTCACAAATGGTTTTATATTCATTAATAGGCACTGCACTTGCAATTTTAACATTATCAGGGAAAGTATAGAATTTACATCCTGTTTGAATTGTTTAAATGTGAATGAACCACATGATCTGGAAGATGGCGACACCGTATCTATTATCAAAAAATGTTACTCATAAGGGGTTTCTTAATACTATTTCTAAGCAAATTATTTTACAAACATTAAGTGTCTTTGTCACATTTTAGTGTTTTTAGAGAAAATTATCTAAGAACAAATTAATTTAACACAGGGTTTAATTCTTCTTCTTTTTTTTTGCATGCTTTTTAACATTGTCTGACATTCTAAGATACTTTTTTTTTTTCAGTTGGAGTCTCACTCTGTCACCCAGACTGAAGGACGGTTGCACGCTCCCGGCCACCACAGCCTCGACCTGCTGGGTTCCGGTGATCCTTCTGCCTCAGCCTTCCAAGTAGCTGGAACTACAGGCGCGTGCTACCATGCCCGGCTCATGTTTTTGATTTATTGTAGAAATGAGGTCTCGCCAAGTTGCCCAGGTGGGTCTCGAACCCACGGCCTCAGGCAATCCACTCACCTCAGCCTCCCAAAGGCGCGGGATTACAGGCTGAGCCACCAAGCCCGGCTTACATTCTAAAATTCCTGAGAGAGACAATTATTTGTCTTGTGAGTGCAAATTACCTTAGATTTCTCCTGGAATTTCTATACACATCTTCAGTGTTCTGGTCTTTCCATTTTTCCCCTAATACACAGGCCAAGAAAAATAGTGCTGAATTATTAAAAACATTATAAAAACACTATTGGATTCTACATTCATGGTTCATGGCAGCCAGGCCTATTTTTTTTTTTTTGAGTGGGACTCTCACTCTGTCATCCAGGTTGGAGTGCAGTGGCACGCTCACAGCCACCACAGCTTCGACTCGCTGGGCTCTGGTGATCCTTCTGCCTTAGACTTCCAAGTAGCTGGAACTATAGGCACACAACACCATGCCCAGCTAATTTTTTGATTTATTATAAAGATGAGGTCTCACCAAGTTGCCCCGGCGCTTCTCAAACCCGTGGGCTCAGGCAATCCTCTCACCTTGGCCTCCCAAAGTGCTGGGATTATAGGCATGAGTCACCACACCTGGCCTTAGCCAGGCCTAATTTATGTACCAAATGTATTCCCTTTCCCCATCCAAATCACTGAACAGCGCTGATGAGCTAGAAACACTGATTCTCTAATTCACTAAGGAAAAGAATGTTGTCACCCTTACCTATAGAGGCCAGGTTCCTGATGGTTTCCAGCATCACATCTCTGTAGAGATACTTCTGGAAAGGATCCAGCAAAGCCCACTCCTCCAAGGTGAAGTTCACAGCCACATCCTCAAAGGCCACTGAGTCCTGAAACATCTCGCATGTGTAGAGGAGGAAGGTTGAAATGAACCGCACTGGGGATCTAAACTCCTCTCCTAAGAAATTCACATAACTGGCCAGGTGCAGTGGCTCAAGCCCGTAATCCCAGCACTTTGGGAGGTGGAGGCGAGAGGATTACCTGAGCTCAGGGGTTTGAGACCAGCCTAAGCAACACGGCAAGATCTTGTCTCTACAACAAATAAAAAAATTGCCAGGCTCGGTGGGCTCAGCCTGTAATCCTATGCCTTGGGAGGTTGAGGTGAGTGGATTGCCTGAGCCCACGGGTTCGAGACCCACCTGG